AGCAATGGGTGAAAGAGATATATTGCTTGAAACCAAAAGTGGACGCCTACAGAGGATCAATGAACTTAATGCTTCCTACTTAGCTTTACAATATCCCCTATTGTTGCCATATGGAGAGGACGGGTACAGAGAAGACATCCCATTTTCTGATCTGAGAGAAGTAAAAGAGGATGGTCGAACAACTGTGAGTATCAGAGAATATTTTGCTTATCGGATCCACGATATAAATCAGGAACCATCTACTATTCTTCCCGCCAGGAGAATGTTTCAACAATTTATCGTTGATGCATATACCATGGCTGAATCATCGAGATTGAGATATATCTATTTCAATCAATCTCGCGTACGGTGCGACATGTACAATGGGTTGGCGGATGCTGTTCTTCGTGGTGATATCGATCCAGGATCTAGAGGAAAGAGAATAATTCTACCTTCTTCTTTCACTAGAGGGGCTCAAAATATGATTCAAAGCTATCAGGATGCAATGGCGATATGCAGATGAGCAGGTAATCCCGATCTATTTATAACATTCACATGCAACCCAAAGTGGCCCGAGATCCTTCGTTTTTTAGGTCCAAGGAACTTACGTCCTGAGGATCGTCCCGATATCGTTTGCAGAGTTTTTAGATCAAAATTAAAGCAGCTGATAAAGGATTTTCGTCACAATCAAATATTTTGTAAAGTAATAGCAGGTATTATCATTTATTTCCAAAATGTGATTTAATTTTAATTCATTTACCGTAATCTTCATAATTGTCTGACATTCTTTTTTATCTTTTTTTTTTTCAGTTGTATACATTGTTGAATTTCAAAAACACAGATTGCCTCATGCCCATATATTGCTTTTTTTTAGCAAAATAAAACAAATTTTCGATCCTTCCGACATAGATAGAATCATATCTACTGAGATACCTGATGAGTCTTCTTATCCATCTTATTATGAATCTGTAAAGGAGCACATGATCCACGGCCCGTGCGGATTGGCTAGAAAGCAATATCCGTGCATGGTTGATGGGAAATGCAGTAAACGTTTTCCAAAACCATTTCTTGAATTCACGTCTGTTGATGATGATGGCTATCCGTGGTACAGACGTCGGGACAATGGAAGACATGTAGAGAAAAATGGTGTGGTTGTCCATAACGGTTTTGTCGTGCCCTACAATTGGAAATTGTTTATGAAATATGGTGCTCACATAAATGTTGAGTGGTGCAATCAGTCCCGGTTAATCAAGTACCTCTTCAAATATGTGAATAAGGGCAATGATCATGTCACTGTATTGTTTTATCAGTCGACTGGAGACAGAGAGCTGGAAAAGCCTGTTGATGAGATTAACATGTTCTGCGACTGTAGATATGTTTCTTCATGTGAGGCGGCTTGGCGGTTGTTGGGTTATGAACTTCAATACAAAAAACCTCTTGTACAACGTTTGAGTTTCCACTTGAAAGGCGAACAGTATGTTATATTTGAGGATGAAGATCGAATTGATGAGGTTATTAGAAAATCCACTGTAAATGAGAGTCAATTTTTGGCATGGATGGAAGCGAACAAGATTTATCATGAGGCGAGGGAGCTTACTTATGTAGAGGCACCATCGAAATTTGTTTGGAACCCAACGTTGAGAGCGTGGACTCCTCGAATCAGAGAACGCGCCATAGCCCGTCTGAGCTATGTTCCTTCTAACGCTGGCGATAATTTCTAATTAGGTGCTTGGTTAATGTAATACGAGGAGCAACTTGCCACGAGGATTATATGAAGGTCGACAACGTCCAATATTCGTCATATCGTGATGCTTGCCATGCCCTAGGTTTGTTGGGTGACGATTGTGAGTACATTGATGGCATATCAGAGGCAAGTCATTGGGCATCTGCTGATTCTCTCCGACGTATGTTTGCGATGTTGTTGGTATCGGGATCGTTAGGTAGACCCCAGCATGTATGGAAAACGTGTTTGGATTTTCTCTCTGATGACATCATTTATAAGCAACGTCTTCTATTCAATAATGAAAGGATGTGACTTATATATTATTTACGTCTTATTGTTTATTTTATTATTTTTGTTTTCCTTTTAAGTCCTATAGTCAATTTTTATAAAATTCTGACTTTGAATCTTTTTTTCCGCAGGTTTGCAGCTGAGTGATGCAGATATAAAGAACTTAGCTCTCGCTAAAATCGAACATTTGTTGAGACGTCGCGGCACGAGTCTTCGGGAATATCCAACAATGCATTTTCCTGATATGACCAGTTTTACTACAAATACAAATCGTCTGATTTTGGATGAGCTAAGTTATGACCGCAAGGCCTTATCAGTCGAGCACAATACTCTTCTTAGAAATATGACTGACGAACATAAAGGAGTTTATTCAAAAATTATGGTAGCGGTAGACTCAGGTCAGGGAGGTGTTCTCTTTGTATATGGTTATGGCGGTACCGGTAAGAAATACTTGTGGAGGACTCTAGCTGCAGGATTACGATCAAAGGGTGAGATCGTGCTTTGTGTTGCATCGAGTGGAATAACTTCTCTTCTATTGCCTGGTGGAAGAACTGCGCACTCTCGCTTTGTTATACCTATTAATCTTCACGAAAATTTGTCGTGTGATATCAACCAGGCTAACCCTCTGGCAGAGCCAATTATACGGTCCTTCCTCATCATATGGGACGAAGCTCCGATGATGCACAAGCATTGCTTCGTAGCTGTGAAATCGTCTTTTCAGGCGATCATGGGAATGGTCAACCCGATCAACCATTATAGACCGATTGGTGGCAAGACTGTTGTTTTTTGTGGAGATTTTCGACAAATCCTCCTGGTGATTTCAAAAGGGAACCGTCAACAGATTGTTAATGCTTCAATAAATGCTTCAACCATTTGGCAAGATTGTATTGTGCTTAGGCTAACAAAAAATATGCGTCTTCAGAGCCTGGATGATTCAGATGAACGTGAGGAGCTTTCTAAATTTGCTGATTGGATTGCCAACATCGGAGACGATACTATTGGAGGTTATAACAATGGTTGCGCATCCATTGAAATACCAGAAGATCTATTATTAGACCAATCCAATGATCCCATTGCCGCAATTGTTGAGAGCACGTATCCAATGTTTAAGAATGCAACAGATGATCCAAGTTACCTGAAGGACAGAGCCATACTTGCACCTACGTTGGAGAACGTTGAGTCTATCAACCAATACATGTCGTCATTGAATCTAACATAAGGTCGTGTATATTTAAGCTCCGACAGTACGTGTAAATCCGATTTGAATTGACTTATTGTTAGAAATCCACACTCCCGAGTTCATAAATTCTCTTAAATGTTATGGTACACCAAATCATGAGTTGCATTTGAAGGTGGGAACTCTGATTATGTTGTTGCGGAACATGGATCATTCTATAGGATTGTGCAACGAGACACGTTTGGTTGTAACCAGACTCTCCAGTCATGTCCTAGAATGTAGGATACTTACGGGCGACCATGCAGGTGGAAAAGTATTGGTACCTCGGATGACGATAACTCCTTCAGATGCAAGAATATCTTTTAAGTTTCAACGAAGGCAGTTCCCTATCGTGGTCTTATGCAATGACTATTAACAAGAGTCAAGGTCAATCCTTATCCGACGTTGGTTTATTCTTGAAAAACAGTTTTCAGTCATGGCAAGTTATATGTTGCTGTTTCGCGCGTCACCAACAAAAAAGGTTTGAAATTTCTAATATGTGGTGAAAATGAGTTACCTCAAATCAAACAAATAATGTTGTGTATAGAGAAATTTTTAATAATATATAATTTCTTTTTTATTCTTATTATTGTGCCATAAAAAGAATAAATGTTAAATTTAATTAAATACATTTCAAATAAATATTTCAATATGTTTTAAATTATGCGTCCACGCATCGCACGAGTGTACACTAGTTATAATGCCTTTACGGGGAGGAGCATGATCAACATCCAGACATTTCCCGTTTATAAGGTATCCTGCTTGACCTAGCCCATTTTGAAAATGGAGGAGGCCCAAAAGCTTCGGGTCAGTTCGGACAGGACAAGTCTGGGTCAAATTGCAACCCCACAACTAACCTATTATTATGTACAAGTGGATTTACCACTAAATATTATCTTTTCATTATTTAAATGCATTGTAATGTGTGCCACTTTGCCTATAAAAGGCAAGAGATGTACTACATTTTAGTATACCGAAAAGTGATAAGAAAAAAAAGAAAAGTTTGTTGTGATTTATGTCCGGTTCTTATACATTGTGTTCTTTATATTCCCCGTATTTTATAACACGTTATCAGCACGAACGCTCTACCCGGTCAAGAAAGGTAGGATATATATACATATTACCATTATTCTTGAC